TGACTAGTTCATTAGTTTTGAAGATAGTGTATCAAAATCTGGCCATGTTCATAAAGATGGAATCATACTGGTCTGATAATAACAACTCTACACAGAATAAATCAAGAGTTGCCTGGATACTTCAGGCAATGCGGAAGACCATTGTTAATGGGGTATAGTGGCAATGCGGAAGACCATTGTTATTTCGAGGAGTTTCGGTGACATATTTTGATTTCTCTTGTACATGTTAAGTTCACTTAATGGTCATAATAATGTTTAGCTAGCTTGTTTTTCACTTTTACTTAGAAGTGGGGGGGGAGGGAAACCTTCAGAATTGTTTACATTAAGTACTAGCCTATCTATACAGTTCCAGACTCTTGATTCACATGATCAGCAGGTGCAACATCTAGTCAAGGTCAGATCTTCTTGGTACCATAGAAACAGAGTCATGAGACTGCAGTGTCAGACTTTGATAAAAACCCTGGCATTGCCCCTTGAGTCGTGGATGCAGGCCTTGGTACCAGGAGCTGTGTTACCTAAGCCATCTTGTGGTCTCTCTACTATCATCTTATGGTAGCTCCCCATAGTAGGGGAAGAGCTTTATCATCTTGCTTGGTATGTTATGCTTTTATACTAAGCTTTTGTATTTCAGTTTAATTCTATCTGCTAATTTTGTATCAAATATTCCTGTTTAAATCTGTTTGGTAGAGTTACAATAAAGCTTAAAATCCCCTCACCTGCTGGTGTGTTCATTGTCTCTGGTTCTAAAAGAACCACTTGCCTTGCACCTGGCCAGTGCTTTGACAATTGGCAAAACATGGGGAGTGATGAAATGGACCCTTGCATCCTTATTAAAAATACAATATAATAGCACATGGACTGTGTTTCAACAGACCCTTCTCCACAGGGGCACAACTTAACTTGTATGGAATTTTTTTATATCCACCTTCAAGAACTATCATAGGAAGTACACTAAAGTGTGCTAAAGTTAGTGTCCTCTGGAGTTTTGGAAAAGTGATATGTAGTATCTTGCTGGTCTAAAAAAAAGGGCCCAGTCTACTCAGGAGAATGTTCTTGGGAGGGCAGATTTATCCAGCTGGGCTTCCAGATAAGAAAATCTGTTCAACCCCCAGATGTTACGGACAACTGCTGTCAGTGCAGGCTGAAATGAGTTAAGCCAATTCAGCAGCACTAGTAGCCACCTACCAAAACTTGAGCAATAGCAGACCACAACATGAAAGAAATGCTGCAATCTCAGCCAATAGTGCATGTTTTAATGTACACACAGCATTTTAATTTAAATAATTTTTCAGAGCAAGAATTGCATCAAGCTCAGTCAATTCACCTTGGGAATTACATAGCTAGTGAGACCACTAGTTGTCAGTCTATGCTCTTGCTGCCATGCAATGAAGTCTGATAAGCGGTGCTCATTGCCATTCTTGCTGTTGGATATTAAATAATTAAATTAAAGGGCATATGCTGCAAATTCAGAATTGGACAGCACAATATACTGCATAATATGTGGGCCAGCCAGGAGTCTTAACTAGCTAGTTGGGAACAGAAATAATGGCTTGGGAAGCCAAACTATTCTACACAGCTGATCCAAACTAAAGATTTTTAAAGGGGTCAGTAGCAGAAAAAAAAACAAAAGTAGGCATTGATGGAACACACCTCCTCTGAATGTATGTACGCGGAGGGAGGAGAAAAAATCATTGTGGTAGACCAACAGAAAAGGAAGCTTTGAGAGTAGGTATGACACATTCAAATAGTCTATCTGAAATCAAAGTTTGAAACTTTTAAAAAATGTTAGTGTCCAGAAAAGCAGAAAGAAGAAATAACAGTCACATTTACGCATCTGTCTCAGAATATTAGGTGAGCAACCCTTTAGTCCTGTATTTTCTCCCCAAGTGCATTTTACATTCTTCCCATGATTTCACTCTACAGAGAAAGATTTCATTAAAGGTAAAATATATAGATCATTTCTGACATCTTTAAATCGTAGCAAGCAGTGCAAGATAATAATGTACAGAGAACACGTGAGTGGAGAGCGTTAGCCCTAACAGATTGCAAAAGGATATTTGGCACCATCAGCATAGTACTAAAAGGCACTCATAGAACAACAAATTGAATCACATTATGGCAAAAAAACAAAAACCCTAAGCAAGCATGATAAGGCATGGAAAATAAATAAGGTTTCACAAGATTAATGATAAAATATAATAAGATGCATTATTCACTAATATATAGACTTATCCATTATATTTAAGAAGTGACTTCATAAAATTTGTCCATCCGTATGAATAGGAGAGAACATCATTAACATACATGAATTTGTTCCTTAACAGAAATTAGAGATAATGAAGAAACTACTGTGTTAAATGATAAATATGAAAAAATCCTTCCTCCACCCCATAAAAGTAAATAAAATTCAAAGAAAACTTCAAGAGAGAATATACATGAACTTTACTACTATAAGCACATGTCTTTGCAGGATGAGAGATCCAATAAAACTCAAGACAACCTCATTTCCCTCCTGTTCCATTTACACATGCAGATATAAGAAACAAAAAGGGAATTAGATGGAATGAAATGTCTGTGTGAACCTCATACAGCCCCATCCAACCCTCTGTCTTGCCTCATAAAAATATGAAAAAATGAGTAAGCTTGCTCTGAGTGGAGAGAAAGAGGTTTACTGCAATATACTGTAGTATAGGATTCCATGCTTTGAATAATATATATATATATATTACTGCACAAAAGTTTTAGGCAGGTGTGAAAAAATGCTGTAAAGTAAGAATGCTTTCAAAAATATATATTGTAATTGTTTATGTTTATCAATTTACAAAATGCAAAGTGAGCAAACAGAAGAGAAATCCAAATCAAATCAATATTTGGTGTGACCACCCTTTGCCTTCAAAACAGCATCAAGCCTTCTAGGTATGAATTTACAAAATGCAAAGTGAGCAAACAGAAGAGAAATCCAAATCAAATCAATATTTGGTGTGACCACCCTTTGCCTTCAAAACAGCATCAAGCCTTCTAGGTATGAATTTACAAAATGCAAAGTGAGCAAACAGAAGAGAAATCCAAATCAAATCAATATTTGGTGTGACCACCCTTTGCCTTCAAAACAGCATCAAGCCTTCTAGGTATGCTTGCACATGGTTTTTGAAGGAACTTGGCAGGTGGGTTGTTCCAAACATCTTGGAGAACTAACCACAGATC